CGCCCTGCCCAGCGCTGCCGGAGGATGCTGGAGGCTGGAGCGTTCCTGGGAGGCAGCGAAGTGCCCTCTGCATCCTAGAGCAGCTCTCCCCCCACCTCCCGAACCCTCCGAATCTTCCTGCCCTGTGGTTTCTGTGGACTAACGAGTCTCTGTGTCGGGTCAGGAGCCTTGACCAGTTATGGTGAGGTAGGAGATCTGCTCTCTCTCTGTGTGTGCGTGTGTCTGGCTTCTATTTTTAACAAAGCTGATTGTTCTGAGGGGGAGCAAAGCGAAGGGGAGAAGGTGTGGAGGTCGCTGGGAGTGCCCAGAAAGGTGCCACTTGTGCTGCAGGAGCTGATTAACAGAGAGCCCCCGGGGAGGCGGGGGGGGGGGCTTTAAGGTGGGAAAAGTGATTAACAGGGCTATTTAGCAAATTGTCTGCAGACAGGCCGGGCTCTCCGGTGGAAACTTTTCTCAGCTGGCCCTGCAGCAAGCACATGGTGCCGGTGGCTCTGTCCCTGCGCTGCCGTCGGCGCTGGGGAACGGGGCGTTCGCAGTTTCGTTTGTGGGAGCGCAGCTCGTGTGGCTCGCCGTGCTGACTGCGAGAGGTGATCCCTGCCCGGGCAGGATGTTATTTTGTGCTCTTATTAGATTTTTATCTCGCGTTACCTCGCTGCGTTTAAAGAGTTTTCTGCCTTATCTCTCCGGCTGAGCACGCTTTTCGTGGGCTTGGTAACTCGCTTGCTGGTGGTGGAACATCCTGATTTCGGGGTGCTGGATGTTCTCTGGGTGGGTTTTTTTTGCTACAAAGTGCGTGAAATGGCAGCTTTTAGTCAGAAGGGCGGTGTGTCATGTAATGAAGGTTATATGGGGCATGAAGTGTGGAGCAGTGAAGGTTCTGTGGGGTGTGAGCTGTGCAAGGCTCTGCTGCAGCAGGGAATGGAGTGTGAAATGATCCCCCTGCCAGGCTGGGAGGCACAGCAGGCAGCGTGGAGAAGGCTGGAAACGCAGGGAATGGATGCAGGGCTGTGCCTGAAGCAGCATTTGAGGCTTTGGGAGCGTTGTGCGAGTGGCTCTTTGCCATGGAGTGCCAAGTGGAGCCTGCCTTGGGTCTTCCTTCCTCCCTCCCTCGGGCACGGGCCGCTCCCAGCGCTCCTCAGGGATCCAGGGGATGGAAGCAGCTCCAGCCTGTTGGTACTTTACATTCCCTGCTACCTCGGGAGCATCCCAAGGCTTCTGCCCCCCCTCCTCTCAGTGCTGCTCTCTCAAGTGTTGCAGGAGGGGCTGGTGGTTCTGTTTCTGCTCTCTGGGTGTTTTCTGCTTCACTGGATCAGAGCAGAGCAGCTAAACAAATACTTTTCCTGCTCCAGGAGGAAGCCTGTCAGTCAGACAGCAGCTGGGGCTGGCTGCTGACAGGTATTTTTAATGCTCCAGCTGTCTGGCAGGTGGGCCTGCAATTTAATTTTGAGCTGCTTTATGAGAACAAAACCATCTGTAATATACGGGCCAGAAAACTGTCCATGGATGGAGGGAGTTCTAAAGAGGTTTCTCCTCCTGTTAGAGGTTTTGAGACCAGTAGGCAAGGCATTATTGGCTGAGGTTAAAGTGTAGCTTGGTGTTTATGGTGGTCCTTACAGCGAAATAACCTTTGAGTATAAAAGGTTGCTTTAAATATTAAGTTTGTTTCGGAGAATTAAATCAGAAAATTTGAAAACCGCAGCCAAAAATAACGACCTCGCACACCTTTGGGGCTGCTGCTGCCAAAACAGCTCCAGGGGCCTGAGCTAAACACCTTTTTTTAATTAAGAGAACATGGGTGTAAATCCTCTGGGCAACTTGGAGGAGCCCCAGCTGCCAGTTCCCTGCTGGTGCAGGTGAGCCTGGCTGGGTGTTGAAACACTCCTTGGCCTGATAAAAACTGGGGCTGCCTCTCCCATTCTGGGAAAACTGAGAACTGTCAGGCAAAATTGGTGTCTTCTTCCCAGCAGTTTCAGCTGCTGCCCCTCTGGGAAGGCCTCTGCTCCTTGGGAATATGCTCCATGGGAATATGCACCGTTTCCCAGGGAAGCAGCTGGTGCCTGTTCCAGGCCCTTGTTGTCTTTCCTTGGAGTCCCAGCTGTTCTCTTCTGCAGATTTTAGAGGTGCTCTTCCCTCCCCAGCTCCTTCCCACCTGGATTTTGCCAGCTGGGAACAGCAGTGAGAGGCTGAGAGCCAAATCCTTCTGGGATATGGATGATTCAAGGGGAGAGGTGGCAGGTTTGGGATCTGTCCTTGTTCAAACACCAGTGGACAGAACACTCCCCCTGAAGTCCCTGCCCCAAGCCTTTACTACACTAATCACAGAGTTTAAGTTTACCCAACACCCCTCTGCCCAAATTCTTTGGGTGTCTCATCATGACCTGCAGTAAAGATGTTTCTGGACCCTTCTTTCTGCTGTGATTCCATCCTTGAGGTGCCCTGATGTGAGTCTGTTGATGAATAAATTGGTGGGGATGGACCCTGGGGGGATGGAGAACCCTGTGATGCTCCACAGAAGGAGCTCTTGCATCCAGGCAGGAGTGTGGGATATCTTCCTTTGGAAGTGGAGATGTGAGCTGGCACTGGTGGTGGGAGGCTGAGCTCTCTGACAGCTCCTTCCTCCCTGCCTTCAGCTTGGAGCTTCCACTCCTCCTCCTGTGGCTGGACAGGACCAGCTGGAGCCCGATGGGTGACAGTCCCTGTGTGTCTGGAGTTGGGGAACGTGGGTGCAGGGATACCCAAATCCAAGGGCTGACAGGCCCACTCTGGTTTGCATGGATGCACAGCATGGGGTGGTCAGTCAGACTTTTCTCTGCTGTCTGGGAAATGTCCCCTGGGCCACCACTGTGTCTCAATCCCTCTGCACCCCCTGGATGGACTCTTCAGTTGGCCAAAGAGAAGCCCAGAGCTACTGGGTGAGTCAAGGTGAGCACGCTGGGAATTGGAATGCTGTGGAAAATCTCCTGGAGCAATGCCTGTGCTTGATTTTTTCACAAGCTGTGGCTGCAAGACCAGAGCTGTGAGACCCGAGTGTTTGCAAACTGATGGACCAGGAGTGAGGGGGGACCTTCAGAATGGCCCAGGCACAACCCCTCTCATCTCTTGCACGTGTTCACCAGCCCCTGGTGTGCCTCAGCCTCCCGGGGGTGCAGTGGTGGGTGCAGGAGCTGCTCACTGGGCCGGGCTGGGAGGGCACAGCAGCTCAGGGGCAGGTGCCAGTCGCTGTCACATCCGTCCCGTGTGACAGCACAGCCCGGGTCACACACCTGTGCTCTGTTCCTGTGGAGCACTCTGCCCTTTCTGTCTGCAGATGGTGTGGGTTTTGCTGTGTCCTGGGTCTTAATTTTGTCCGTGGCTTCCTTTGCTCGTCACCGCCGAGCCTTTATCTGGGCAGCGCAAGCCGTGGTGGTGGAAGGGGGTTTGTGGTGGTGGAGGGGGGTTTGTGATGGTGGAAGGGGGTTTTTCCCATATCAGGAGTGTGGTTTGGGCTGTGAGGAAGTGCCAGTGATAGGCAGAGCCCTGGAATGTGTGCAGGCTGGGGAGACCAAGCTTCTTGCAGCCACTTCAGCCTGGCCATGGCCTGGACTAACCTCGGCTGAGGGAAGGGTCACTGAGAGAAGGAGCTGGGAAATCAGCACCTCCCTTTAGACCTGCTGAGCTTCCCCTGCCTTTCCTGAAGCCAGGCAGAGCTGTGTCCCTAAAACTAGGGCTGGAAGATGCCCTTAAAACAGGTGTGTGAGTGACTGAGTGTGAGACCTGGGGCAGTGTGTCCCTGGCCAGGGCTGCCCTGGGCTGGCTGGGATGAGGAGCCTCCGTGGAGCTCAGGTGAGGTGCTTTGTGTCCCAGCCTGCCCCCTGGACAGTGCTTGTCTGGGTGAAAAGGAGAAGTGTGAACAGTGTTTTAGCTCTGTTTTTTTCACCCAGAGCAAGGCTGTCACAAAGGGTGTCTGGAGAGCAGGGTGCCCTTTTCCCTGGGAAGTTCACCCAGGCTTCCTCCACGCAGGCAGGCAGTGACAACCACGTGGGCTGTGCTGCAGTTCTTGGGTTTTTCTCCTGGAAATCGCTGTTTTTGAGCTGATGACCTGATTCATAACCCAGGGTTTCCCTGGAGGGATAACAGGTGACTTGGGTGTGATTGCATTTTGACCCTTCCCAGCTCAGATCAGGGCCTTTTTAAGAGATGTGAACTTACAGCAGAGAGGCTGAGGGAACCCTGGCAGACTTTGCCAAGCAAATCTGGGACCACAGAGATGCCAGCTCCTCCAGATGATGTGTTTTCCTGTGCATCCATCCCAGGCAGAGGAGCTGATGCATCTCCCTTAACTGGCTGCTATTTATGTGACAGGAGTTTTTCGTGCTACTTGTCCTCGGAGTGATTTCTGTCTGCTCTGATCTCAGCCAGATTGAACAAGCTATTTAGTTCCCTGAGCAAAATAATCACTTTGGGGCACCTGAACAACTTGAAACCTTTTTGCTGAGAGGCTGTGCCAGATCATGGGTGTGCTGCTGCTTTTGGGAGGTGGGGTGGATGGTCCAGGAGGGGAAGGAATGAGACAGCACGTGGAGAGAGGGAGATGTGCCAGGGGCAGGCATGGACTGGAATAATTTAGATAAAGGAACTGAATCATAGGGAGTTGATGAGTGCAGACTGCTGCGTGTGTCAGGGAGACAGGACAGATGTGAATTTATATTAATTAGCAATTAGTGCCAGCTGAGGCTCCAGAGCCAAGTAAATGGGAACTGTCTGCACCAGCTCCCTGCCAGGAGGGTGGTGCCTGCTCCTGCTTCTGGAAGGAAAGAGCTCCTGGAGTGCTTTCCCTGCTGTCTCTGGGCTTTGGATGTGCACTCTGCTCTTCCTGCTTCAGCAAAAGCCACCCCCTCCCCCAGGATGGGTCTGTCCAGCACCTTCCTCCAGGTCTTCAGGGACGGGGTTGAGACTGGAATTAAATGACAAGAGTCATAAAACTGATCTTAGTGATGTAGGTCAGTTAATCCCTGCCTAAACCCAGGGGTTTTTTGATGGAGACTGCTGTGCCCAGGGTGCTCCTGTGCAGGTGGCACTTCTGGAGAGGCTCTTCTCAAGAGCTGGGTGTGAAACCCTCACCGACGGGAGGGTTTGGGTTTCAAACCAGAGCGTGGGTGGTGAGTTAAACCCCTCTTTGTGACACAGAGGAGCTCTGGGTGCTCTGCAGCTCCCACCAGCTCTGCTTCACCCCTCGTGAAGGTCGTTGGCTGATGGGCAGAGGCGTGGGCTGAACTTTCCATCGCTGCAGCCTCAGGTGATTCACACCCCCTGTGGGTGGGTGAAGCATCACTGGGGTGTCCTGCAGCAGGACAGTGGGCTGGGGTGGTCCAGAGGCTGCTGAGGGAAAAGGGGAGATTGCCCTTGCCTGGATTTTGATGTGCCAAGTGACTGGAAAAGCTGCCCAGAAGGCAGTGGGTGCAGGAAGGGAATATCCAGAGGCACGGAGAGAGGGCTTCCCTCTGGGGTTAGGGCTTGGTACCCACCCTGCTGAGGGGCTGAGCGGTTCCTACAGCCCAACACAACGAGCTGATGGATGTTTATATTCCCTCTGAATGGATATGAAGTGTCTGGGTCCCTTCTGCAGCTCTGAAGGGTTTTTTTTTTCCCTATTTGCTGAACAGGACACTTACCCTTGCAAAGAGCTGCTCTGCCCCAAGTTACACCTGCTCTCACCAGTCCACAACCTCCTTTCTCTGCTGGAAGAATCCTCAGCTGATTATTTGCCTGGCTGCCTCCAAGGGCAGGGTCCATCCTCCTGGATCCATTCCTGGATCCTCCTGGATCCATCCTGCCTTTCCCCACTGCAGAGGGAGGTGGGCTGACTCTGCTGGGGATTTGGGGGTCTGCCTGCCCTGCATCGACAGCATCTGCTGTGAGCATTGTCCCCCAGCTCCTGGCTGCTGTTGGGGGGCTGGAGCAGAGCAGAAGGGAGCTCTGGTGGTGGTTGATCCCATCCTCTCCCAGTTCCCAAGCTGCTGGATCGGAGCCTGTGCTGAACCACACACGGAGCCTCTTGAGCCATATTTGCTTTGATCCTCTCCAAGCCAAACACAGAGAAGTTTTACCATTCCAGATGCTCCAGATTCTCTCCCTGCCTCTGGGCTGAACTGTCCTACAAACCCAGGGCACGTGCACCTGGGGCTGGCTGCTCTGGGCACCCCCAGAGCCAGGGTCTGTCCCCAAGCCCTGTGCCCGTGGCTTTCCCGTGTCCTGGGGTGACTCTGCTTTCCCATGGGCAGGATTTGGGGAGACATCCTGGCTCTGCTGGTCTGTGAGGCTCAGCAGCCACCGTGTCCATGGCATCACAGAATATCCAGAGCTGGAAGGGACCCCCAAGGATCATGGAGTTCAACCCCACTTTGACACCTTCCTCTTCTGGGCTGCTTTTGAGCTCTGGGAGAGAAGGGGAAAGGAAAGGTGGTGGTCTGGAATAACTCATTTCCATCTCCTTTGGGGCCTCACTGAGGAACTTTGTGGTTTACCTGTAGGTTAAAGGGTCATCCTAGCTGGGAGCTGGATCCCCCTGTGGCACCTCAGACAGTCATTTCTAAGGGTTCCTCTGCACCAGGATGGGATCACCCTGCTTCCCCAGTGCCATGTTCTGCTCCACTGCTGTGGTATCCTTTTGGATATGGTGCTTTTTTATCCTTTATCCACTTCATGGGATGTTTGCTGGAGCTGTTCAGAGTCCAGGATTCCCAGACAGGCTTTTAAAACTGCCTCGTTTTATGGGTTTCTTAAGGGTGTAACAGTGTTGCTCAACTCTTTATTCTGTTTTATCCCAAGACAGGAGCACAGGGATGCATTCCAGCAGAAGAAAGCATTCCTGCTCATGTGAGGGAGGAAATGACTAATAGTGCATGGAAATGATGACTCTTTAGTAATTAAAGAGAAATTATTTGATAAATTTTTCATGTGGAGAAAGAGTCCCTTTTTCAGGGCTTCTGCTGGAATGTTGCTCCTGTTTGGAGGAGAAGGAGGTACCTGTGTCTGAAATACCTGGATCCCCACTTTTATTTCCGGGGATTCTCCAGGGGTGACTCAGTCCTGCAAAAAGCCATTGCCTGAGTGACCCACTGCACAGTGATGTTTATTATTTGCTGACATCAGAACATGGCCTGATATTAACAATGGACTTTTTTTTCCTGTGGTGGGGATCTAGTTTGGGTCCTCTTTAAGTTGCTTTCCTTCTTGGAGTGTTTGAAAGCTGAGAAAAAGAGGCTGAAAAGGGACTTGTGGATGGATTTTGTGGCTGTGGCCAACAGTGGAAAGGGAAGAGGGTTGTGGTCCTCCCAGGTAGGAGGGAGGTTGGACATCAGGCCCTTTTGTCCCTGTTGGCTGTTCCTCGTGGCATCCCAGTGCCTTGGCTGCTGGAATATTCACAGCCCCAGCACCTCTGCCCTCTTCTGGCACCGACAGAGGTGTCTGTTCTCAGCATCCCACAGGTCTGGCTCCAGCTGAGCATCCCAGGATAACCTGAGTTTCCATGGGGGGGTTTTTGGGCAGCCTTTGAAGGGGTTTGGACACTGCCACACAGACTGGGACGTTCCCAGAGCTGGTGTGTCCATATCTGCAAGAGCTCTCATCCCACTCTCATTACCAAAGATATTTCCTTAGTTTTCCCCCACCATGCTGCTTTTCCTGCCATTAGCATTCAGTGGGAATGCTGTGTGTGGCCTCTGGCAGCCTTGGGGTGTCCCTGAGCTCCATTAAGCCCCATTAGAACATTCCTTCCCCTCCCAGGAGCAGCTCTGGGGCCCAGTTAAGTGCTGGCCCTGCAGACAGCAGGTTTATGAAAGGGTGGCACTCGTGGGATGTCAGGAATACAGGCTTGGAAACACTGGGATTCCTCTTTACCATCTGTTTCCACGACCCTTCCCTACCTAAAACACCTCTCCTCCTGCAGAAATCCAGGGATCTGCAGTCAAAACTGTTTGGCTTGTGGTGGCAGGGAGGAAATCCCAAATTGTGGAGGAGATGGTGACATTTCTTGACCTTTCCTGTGTGTACCTTGGAGACAAACACACACTCTGTTTGTGGGGTGGGTTTGGCTGCATTTCCTAACACAGGCATTTCGCTGCCCCCACTGAGATAAACTTGCAAACCCTTTGGGGAGGTGGGGGGGGACAGTGTGTTGGCTGAATCCGACCCAGGGGCAGCTGTATCCCAGAAACCAGCCTCCTAAATGCTTCCAGATATTCTCCTCCTGAAAACCCCACGTTTCACTCGCTTGGAACGCTAAACCTTGCAGTTTTTAGTTGTTTAGTTCAGACCTGTCCAACCTCCAGGGACTCCTGTAACATTGTCTTTTGCTCTGAAGGGGGGTTTGGCTGTGCAGCCAGTTCTCTTGCAGCTGGTGCTGCCTCAAAAATACTCTAAATAAACCCCCCTTGTTACCATCCAGCGTTTAATTGTGGCTCATCTCCTCTTTGCTCATGTGGAATATTCCATCAGTGGCTGCTGGAGCGTGACCTAAAGCTGAGCAATACTTTCAGAATCGAGTGCCTCTCCTTTTGGGGTGCTCTGTGTGGGACTTGTGAGATTACTCAAAAGAGCCTGGCATTTAGAAAAGTGGATTTTCAGCAGCTTCTGGGGGGGGAAAAAAAAAAAAAGGAGCCATAAAACCGGTGCCACGTGGGGAATCATTGGTGTAATGTGCATATTTAGCACTCATTAAAGCCTGGGGAAACACCAGTTCTTGTGATCAAGGGAACTTGATGGAGACTGATAGCGCAGAAATTAGATCAGGAGGTGGTTTGATGACGCTTAAAATACAAAGATTACATTAAAGTAGCACAGAAAATGATGAAACATTTCCCCCCTCGGGGTGAACTTGTCTGTATTTCCCTTTTCTGCCGTGGCAGGAGGGTGAGGAGATGGACAGGACCAGACTGTGCCTGCAGGTGGAAAAAGGGGTGAATCACCCTCTCACGTGTCCCTTCTGCCCTTTACAGGTGGTTTCATCCCAACATCAGTGGGATTGAGGCCGAGAAGCTCCTCCTGACCAGGGGTGTCCATGGCAGCTTCCTGGCTCGCCCCAGCAAGAGCAACCCCGGGGACTTCACTCTCTCTGTCAGGTAAGAGGAGCAAGGGGCTGGATGGAGCTCTCCAGGCCACCTCTCCCTGAAGTCAAAGGTTCACTGAACTCTCCCCGTCTCTGCAGAGGCTGTGCCAGGAGCCACACTCTGATTTGTTCATCCCTGGGGGCTGCACATGCCCCTGTCCTGCCAGGGCTGGGCTCCTGGCACGTGTTTCCATGCTGTTGCCAGAGGAGGGAAGAGTATGTTGGGTCCCAGCGGGGATGAACCCTCTCACTCTGATTCCAAAGGACCCAAGTGCAGCTGCCTTTGGGAGAGACTCGTTTTCTGTGTCTGTGAGGGGTCCCAGGGTCACCCTCAGAGGAGGGTGAGCTGCTGCCCAGCCTCACCACAGCTGAATTCCCTTTAAGATCACCTCCAACATGCTCCTGTTTTCTTTGGGACCAAGGCAGTGGCAGGAGGAAAGTTCTGTCAGTGGTCTTTGTGAGTGGAAGCCCTGAGGGGCATCCTAAGGGATGCAGTGGAGCAGAACCACCAGGAGGAATAACCCTTGTTTTGTTTAGGAGGCTCCAGAGAGTTTATAAATCCCTTGACCCAATGCTGTGTTTGGAGAAACTTTGTGCAAAGGACAGAGTAACATCCCCCAGTGAGTCCCTGAGAGAAAAGCAGTGGGTTCAAGGCTTGAGCTTTCCATGAGCACCATCCAGCTGGTGCCTTGCAGGGAGTTGGCTCAGCAGAGGTTCCCCCAGGCACTTGCACACAGACCTGTTTTGGAACACGGGCCTCTCTCTCTCTCTTTTGTGGCAGCTTCTCTTTAGTTCCAACAACCCTTGTTTTGTTTAGGAAGCTCCAGAGAGTTTATAAATCCCTTGACCCAGTGCTGTGTTTGGAGAAACTTTGTGCAAAGGACAGGCTGGGCAGAGCTTTTCCACCTGGCAGGACAGTGAATCTCACCTTGATGGCTCATCTCCCAGGAGTGATGTCACACCTCCCAGGAGTGATGTCACACCTCCCAGGAGTGATGGCACACCTCCCAGGAGTGATGGCACATCTCCCAGGAGTGATGTCACATCTCCCAGGAGTGGTGTCACATCTCCCAGGAGTGGTGTCACACCTCCCAGGAGTGATGGCACACCTCCCAGGAGTGATGGCACACCTCCCAGGAGTGATGGCACATCTCCCAGGAGTGATGTCACACCTCCCAGGAGTGATGTCACACCTCCCAGGAGTGGTGTCACATCTCCCAGGAGTGATGTTACATCTCCCAGGAGCGTGGTTGGGCCCTGCTTGATCAGAGCAGCCAAGTGGCTCTGCTGAGGCTTTTCCCCTCTCCTTGCTGCCTTATCCCCTTGGATCAAACCCCTCTTGGGGCAGTTATCTTCCCCCTTTCCCTGTGACAAAGATGGAACAATGTGTTATTATTCTCATCTAGAATTATATCCCGACAGAGCTCTTTTCTTTTCTTTTTTAATCTCTGAACTGGACAGGTATATATATAGGTATATATAGGCTGCCTCTGTCTGACACACAGGCACGTGACCAAAAAAGACTTTTGAGGATGCAATTGGTGCAGTTATTTCTGACATTTAAAGTAGTTCTTTTACCTCTAGTGACAAAAAAAAAAAAAGGGTCTGCTTGGGTTTTTTGTGAGTCCTGTTGTTACTGACTGTGTTCTGCTTTAACAAAAGCAGCCTGGTGGTCACTGCAGTGTGGGCTCAGATTCCCAAGTGGGAGTATTTTGGATCAAGAAACCCTCGTGGAAATCTGGCTGAGGAGTTGTGCTGGTGGTGTAAAGAAGCTTAGCTTGGAATGGAGGCAACTCTCACTGAAGCTGCCAAAGAGTGGGGCTGTGCTGTTAATCAGTGCTGCCTCCCTGTCCAGCTCGGTGGGGCTTAGCCAGATGTGGCCATGCCCTCCAGCACAGGGATTTTTGGGCACCTCTTTTATGCTTTATTTCCCCAGTCAGAGAGTCCAGGGCACAGCTCATGGGATGCTGCTGCTGCACAGCCCAGTTTTGCTGCCCAGCTTGGAGCTGCAGACCTCGAAATGGGAAGGAAACGGGCACTGATCATTGTCCTTTGTGTTTATAGTGACCTTGAGGGCTTGGGGGATGAATGACCTTGATTATCTCTCTGCTTTTCATCCCTGAAGGGCTCACAGGCCTCGGGGCTGGGGCTGTGAACTGAGCCTTTGTGGGCTGGGCTGGGGCTGGAGCTGTGGAAGGAAGGGAGGGTTTTGAGCCTCAGGGAAAAAACAGTGTGTGCTGTATTTTTCTGGGCTGCACAAGGGCTCTTCAGGTCCAGCTGCTGCCATGAATGGCAGGAGCACTTGGTGTGCCAGCCCCTCTTGGAGAAGAGGCATTGTCATCGTGCTGGCCGGGCTGGGAATCTCCCAGCCAGTTCTCTTTCCCATCCAGTGAGTTCTGCTCATGCAAACATTGCCAAACTTTGAAGTCTGTGCCCGCAGAACAGCTGGGTTTGGGGTGGCAGCCAGGGCAGACGTGTCAGAGAGAGTTATCCATGTCTCTGTGAACACCCAGCAGTGCCACCCTGCAGCTTCCCCTGCTGCAGATGGTTGGGTTCTGTCTCCAGGACCTTGTTCTCGAGGTGCAGTGTGACTGTCCAGGCTCCAGATGCAGCTTTTCCCACCTCAGGCCCGATTGTCAGCCTTTTCCTGGGTTTATTCTGCTGTTAATGTGGGATGATGGGAATACATGGATGCTGTCTCTGCCTGTTCACACTCGGTGGTTGTCACTGGGTTGGCACGAACTGGAAATCACCTCAACGCCAGACAAAGCATCCAAGAGCAAACTGGAGCTGCTGGTTCTTGTTGATAAAGTATTTTTTAGCAAGTCAGGGCTGCTTTAAGGAGAGCCTAAAACACTGTCTCCCTAAAGCCTCTGTGTGAGGCTTTCTGGGTGGCAGCTGGTGAGGCACAGAGCCAGCTCTTGGCTGAGGAACCTCATCCGAGGAGCATCCATCCCTTTCCTGGGGGTAGCAGGGTGGCACCTGAGTGCAGGGAGAGCTGGTGGTGCAGCTCCCAGGGGTGGGTTGGTGCTCAGCTGAGCCCTGCAGGCTGGAGTTGGGTTTCCATTCCCTCACCCTGATGGTGTTTTTTGCCCCCCTCCCTCAGGAGGAACGACGAGGTGACCCACATCAAGATCCAGAACACGGGGGATTACTATGACCTGTATGGGGGTGAGAAGTTTGCCACCCTGGCAGAGCTGGTGCAGTACTACACAGAGCAGCAGGGGCTGCTCAGGGAGAAGAACAGCAACGTCATCGAGCTCAAGTACCCCCTGAACTGCCAGGACCCCACCTCGGAGAGGTAAACCAGGCTCTCCCACTGCCCTGCCCCGGGCTGGGGGTGGTTTCTTCCCAGGTGGCTCAGCCTGGAGACCTGGGTTTGGGAAGGAACCTGAAACAAGGGTGTGCTTGGTGTGATGAAACTTCGGTGACCCAAAAGCTGCCCGTGTCTGGGACGCAGCCATTCACACAGACATTCACAGGTGTGGCACTTTTTTAGCACCACGATCTGACTGATGAGGTGGTGAGGGGCCAAAGGTTCCATCTGATGGTCTGAGAGGTCTTTTCCAACCTCAGTGACTCTGTGACCCTACAGCCAGAAGCTGGCAGGTGACACGGTCAAGCTCTTTGCTCTTTGCTTGTCAGCTCGTGCTAAAAAGCTTTCTCCAGCTTTTAGGCAACATAGAATCCTGGAATAGTTTGGGTTGGAAGGGACATTTAAATGGCATTTAGGGGCAGGGACATCTCAGAGCCCCATCCAGTATGAGCAGGGTGAATCCATCCACAAAGAGCCCTACAGGTCTGTCTCAGCAGTCCCACGTTTTTGTTTCTGAAGGAAACAAAACCACCTACAAGTGACTTGTCCTCCTGGGCAAGAAATCCCCCAAAGAAAGTGTTTCCCCCACCCCATCTCAGCCTGTAACCCCTGTTCATCCCAGCAAGGATTGCCTTGCAGGGATGGATGACTCTCCTTGGGCTCCTTCGGGCTGTTTCCACCTGATTTAATGACCTTTTTTTTCCTCCCCTTCATCTGGGGGGATATATTGATACCACTCTATCTGACAGAAGATTAGTTCCCTGAAAGAGCTGTTTTTCCTTGTCTTAATTTGAAGTGTTTGCAACCCTTTTTTTTTTTTTTTAAAGACATGCAAACACCCCTTCAACTAATCCCAAAAGTCACAGCAGAAACAACTCTTACTTCTTATTGTACTGATAATAGGAGGGGGTGTTGCAGGGAGGATGTTGGGGCAAGGAAAACTATGTCTTGTAAGGAGAATTCGTTTGTGTTTCAAACCAAGGTGTTGTTTCAGCTTGTGACTCTTAATCACCAAAACTTTTTTTCCTTCAGTCTGTAGGTTACTTATTCTTAAAGACAGTTGGGAAGTTAAAACCATGATCAGCAGCTCTTTGGGAGGAAAAGGATAGCAAAGAAAATCGAAATTAAACAAGGCTTAAATAAAGTTAAAGAAGCCAGAAGTTAATACCTAAACTGAGATTAAAAAGACTAATCTAGCATAAGTCATTAATGACTGTATTTATGGTGGTTCAGTGATGAAGCCCCAGCCACGAATGTTCCAGTGACCCCTTTTTTCCTTTTCCTCCCCCTCAGTTCCCCCAGTGCCACATGGTGGGCAGGGGGAGGCTGGCACGGGCTCCTTTCAGTTCCCAAAATGCTGCAGAGCTCTGCCCTCCACAGGTCATATGAGAGCCCAGCCCTGGGAAGTCCCTCCAGCTCATGTGCTCCCTCGCTGCCGGGGAGGTTTCTCTGCTCCCCGTGGTGTGAAAAGCAGCCCCCACGGGAGCAGAAAGCCTGGAAAAGTGGAAACCCCCTTCCCTCAGCCGGGCTTCCCCCTCTTCTCCTGCCAAGGACAGGCTGGCTTGGCAGGGAAGGGCCAGAAACACTCCTCCAGACCTCACAGGTGGTGGCATCGAGGAGAAAGGAGGGAGAAGAGTCCAAATCCTCCAAGCAGATGAGATGAGGGTGGTGTTGGGATACAGCAGGACGTGGTTTTCCAAGCCCTGGGGCTGGATCCCAGCAGTGCTGGCAGAGGGTTCTTCAGCTCAGCTGGGTCATCCTGCCCTTGTGCAGCCCGTGGGCCTGATCTCAACCCTGAGGGAAGGAGTAAAGGGGATTCCCAGCCAGGCTGGGCCTGGCTGCCCTTGCAAGATGCTGGGTTGGGACTTCAGGGCCCAACATCACTCCCTGCCCTTCCATAAACCTCATCCTCGGGGCCAGCCTCGCCGAGACGTGACGTGATGCCATTGCTGGGAGGTTCTTTGGAGCCTCTCTGGGTTCCTGGCAGCTTGGCTGCCTTCAAGGGGACCTGTGGCATCTGCCCAGAGCTGCTGATGGAGTGTGGGGATGGAAGGAGCTGCTGTGGGTCCCTGTGGAAGGCTGGAGCAGAGGGCTGGGGACATTCCCACCCTGGGGAGCTGCTGGGGGTGGGTGGGATGTGGAAGGCTGGAGCAGGGGGCTGGGGACATTCCCACCCCAGGGAGTTGCTGGGGGTGGGTGGGATGTGCTGCTGCCCAGGGAAGGGCAGGTGAGGTGCTGGCCAGAGCATGGAGCTACCAGGGTAGTGCTGGAGAAGGCAGCAACAAGGAATTCCCAGATTATTGTGTGTTTAACCTCAGGGCACCATGGCAAGGCTGCATCCCCTGGGACTGCAGTGGGAGTGTGTCAGCAGAGCAGGAGAAAGGATTCTGGGAGATCAGGTGGAGAAACAGGGGCAAGATGTGCCCAGACAGGGAGGTGGGGCGAGCTGTGCTCATGCAGTGAGGTTTGGGAAGAGCTGAGCACAAACCTCTGCACGTTGTAATTGCCACTGGCCAGAGATGTGGCTGCAGGTGGGGCTGGATTGGGAAAAAACCCACTGGGGACCCAGTTTGGCCACTCCAGGTGAGCGTGCAGGACAATTCTGTGCTCCCTCAGCCAGCCCTGAGCCAGGTGAGTGAGCTGGGTGGGTGTGGCAGCAGTGATTGCAACCAGGGAGACCCTCAGAAAACCCTTCCCAAACTGTGGCAAAGCGTCTTGCTCCTGGCCAGTGTTGTCCACAGAATCCCAGAATGGTTTGGGTTGGGAGGGACCTTAAATCCCAGCCCATTCCACCCCCTTCCCACACCTTCCACTAGCCCAGGTTGCTCCAAGCCCTTGTCCAACCTGGCCTTGAGCCCTGTGCTTGTGTCTGGCACCGTCTGACTCCAAGAGTTCCTCTTCTTCCATATTAAAAAAATTAAGGGAAATCAATTAAAAAAAAATTTAAAGGATTATTAAATCATTAAAATTATTAAAAGCTAAATTATTAAGAACTAAGGAAAAAGCCACCTTCAAGAAAGCACAGTGAGAGTCGTGTCTCAGAGCCTGTCCCTGGGTGGCAGGCCCTGTCACACCCCACGTGGCACTGCCCTGTCACATCTGTCTGGAGGACACAGCCACGTCTTGGCACCTCCAGCCTGGGGAAAGGTACTGATGTGGCACTGCAGGCTGCTGGAAGGGAGTCACCGGGGACCATTCCCAAAATAAATCCAGGTCTGTGCCCTGCCAGCCGGCTTGGGAGCCTGGGAACAGGTTTTCCACGAGCACCACCCCCTCAGCCCTTGTCTGAGGAACCTTTCTGAGGTGACTTTGCCCCCCCTTTGCTGCTGCCCAGGTGGTACCACGGGCACCTCACGGGCAAGGAGGCGGAGAAGCTGCTGACGGAGAAGGGGAAGCCGGGAAGTTTCCTGGTGAGGGAGAGCCAGAGCAAACCGGGAGACTTCGTCCTGTCGGTGCTGACCAACGAGGACAAGATGGAGAGCGGGGACCGAAAACCACACGTCACCCACGTGATGATCCACTACCAGGTGGGAGAGGGGCTGTCCCTGCTTCCCCCTGGGTGGGTGGTCCCTCTGGGAGCCAGGACAACGCTCTGAGGGACAGGCTGGGATTGTTGGAAGGCCAGGGGTTGGGCTTGGATGATCCTTGGGGGCCCCTTCCAGCTTCGGGATATTCTCTGATTCTACGAGCCTCCAAAGGAAATAGTGGAAAACTCGGTCTGGGGTCGGTCTCCCCCACCATGTATCACTGATGTGCACCCAAATCTCACTGGATTTGGGGTCCTCTCCTTGCAGCTGGATGGGAAGTACGACGTGGGGGGAGGAGAGAGGTTCGACACGCTCACGGACCTGGTGGAGCACTACAAGAAGAACCCCATGGTGGAGAAGTCTGGGGCTGTGGTTCACCTGAAGCAGGTAAAACCAACGTGTTGGTTGGCTGTGGGCTTGCCCAAACCCCTGGGGGAGAGCACAGATCTGCCCCCTGCTCTTTGGGAACTCCTGCTCCCCTCTGGAACATCCTGCTCGTCCAGGCTCACACTTGCCAGAGGTCCCTGGCGCCAGGAATGGTCCCAGCTCTTGCCAGTACCCCGGGGATTTGGGAACTGGGGCTTTTTTGTCCTGTTCCTGGGGGTGATTTGTGTCCTGTCTGCGCCTTCCAGCCCTTCAACGCCACGCGCATCAACGCAGCCAACATCGAGAACAGGGTGAAGGAGCTCAACAAGATGGCAGATCACAGTGAGAAGGCCAAGCAGGGATTCTGGGAAGAGTTTGAGGTATGGGATGCTCTCCTGCTCTGTCCTGCTTATACCTGTGGGTGAAGAATATCCCGTTTTTCTGGGAGCATCGTGGTTTTCCAGCACTGACGACCTATTTCTCTTTTCCTTGTTTTCTGTGTTCAACTGAGTTAATTCCTGCTCCTCTTTTAAGCTGCTTTTTCCCGTGTCTGAGGCAGTTTCTGTTTCCTTATCCCTGTTGTTCCCTGCAGGGATTTGTGCCTTCTCCCCTCATTAACTCTCTCTATCTATCAAGCTGCTTCTTGGCTGCTTTTCCCTTCCTGCCAGCACTCCCTCTGCTCTTCCCAGCATTAGGAAGTCCAAAGAGCCTTTCCCTTGCCTCTGACTCCCCTTGTGTGCCCAGCACTGCCTGTTCTTTTGGTGTGTCCCCACAGATGCTGCAGCAGCAGGAGTGCAAGCTCCTGTACCCCAGGAAGGAGGGGCAACGACCAGAGAACAAGGCCAAGAATCGCTACAAGAACATCCTTCCCTGTAAGGAGACCCTGGACAGGGGTTTGGGGTTTTCCACCACGGTTCCTGCAGCCTTCTGTGGGGCTGGGGAAGCCTGCAGAGCTTTCTGATCACAGCTGGGTTGGAAGGAGGTGGTCACTGTCCAGGTCGTGGTGGTCTCCATCCCCTTTTTAACCTGGTTCTGCTATTTTGTGTGAAAAACGGGCAAATTGCTCTCCTCTGAACCCAAAGGAGTCATATGGAGCTGTGCCAGGGCAGGGTTCTGGAAAAGGTTCTTCCCCCAGAGGGTGGTTGGGCACTGAACAGGCTCCCCAGGGTTTGATCACAGTCCCGAGGCTGCCAGAGCTCCAGGAGGGTTTGGACAACGCTCTGAGGGACAGGGTGGGATTGTTGGAGTATCCTGGGCAAGGCCAGGGGTTGGACTGGATGATCCTTGTGGGTCCCTTCCAGCTTTGGGGTATTCTCTGATTCTATGAGCCTCCAAAGGAAATAGTAGAAAACTTGGTCTGGGGTCGGTCTCCCCCACCACGTATCACTGATGTGCACCCAAACTCCCTCCCTGCTCCTGCCTGGGTGACTCCTGCTCATCCTGGACTCTCCTCCTGCAGTTGACACCACCCGGGTGGCCCTCAGGGACGTGGATGAGAGTGTGCCTGGCTCAGACTACATCAATGCCAACTACATCAAGGTACTTGGGGGACACCCCACGAGGGGCTGCCCTTCAGCCCAGCTCTGCTTCTGTGTGAGTTTAGAGGGAATAACCTCTCAGGATCCATATCTTTCGCTGGATCCAGGCCAAACACTGGATTTTTTTCTACTCTGTGCCAAGGGATCTCATCATTCTACCCTGCCCTCTTTGCCCCTCTCTGGGAGTTTATCTCCATCCCTTCCTTTCCTTACCTGTTCAGAGGGTCCCAGGGGCCTGACCTTGCCTTTCAGCTATTGAACATTATCTCTGAAGTTGTATCTCTCAGCCAAGAGCTGCTGGAAGCTGCATTTCCAGCAATGCTGCTGTGGCTCTTACACACCATCCTTCGGGGAACCATCGGAGTGGCTTCATTCCAGCCACATCCACCCGAAACTTCAGCAGTTCCTGCTGGGAAGGCTCTGCTGCACGGCAGAAGGAAGGTCCCTGGGGGCTGGCAGAGCATTTTCTGACAGCTCTGGTGAAGCTGATGATGAGAGTGGCTGAAGAACCTGAGGCAAATCAGCTGGTTTGGGAATCCTGCGTGGCTGGATGTGCTGACTTGGCTGCTGAAGCAATTCCCGGTTCCTCACTCCAGCATCCTTGGCTTTTCTCTCCCCCACCCCTTCTCTTTGTTCCTCAGAGCATCCCTGAAGATGGAAGGAGCTCGGAGCACTGCAAGGTCTATATAGCCACCCAGGGCTGCCTGCAGACCACTGTGAACGACTTCTGGGCCATGGTGTACCAGGAGAACACCCACGTCATTGTCATGACCACCAAGGAGGTGGAACGGGGCCGGGTGAGCACTTGGAGGGTCTCTTGGCACTGTCCCCAAGCCTGAAAGATTCCTGCTGCCAGTCCTAGTGGTGTTCAGTTAAGCTGTCTCTGTCCAGCTCTCATTTAATTTAGTTTTTCCTCTGTCTTGTCATGTAGATTTAGCTCCTCTTCATGGAGGAGAAATAACACCTTGCTCTGCACATCCCCAGCCCCACAGATTTGAACAGGGTGACCCTCCCAGGACTTGCTTCAAGGCTCTGGGGAACTGCAGGTGACAGAGATAGAGAGGGAGAGAGAGACAGAAATCACCATGTGTGTCACAGCAAGCTGAGGGTGGAGTGAGGGGTGTTCCAGGCTATGTGAGGGGGAAAAGAAATTATCCACCCATTTGTGTGCCACCTGAATGTGTTTCATCAGGGGAATAGGGGCCAGGGAATACAGTGACATTCCAGGTAGAGCCATGCAGAACTGCCTTCTGCAGACAGGAGCTAATTAGGATTGGCACAGGCAGCTTGGCTGAGGAATGAGGGGGAAGCTGCAAGGAGGAGATAAAGATAGCTCTGCTCACAGCCTGGCAAAGTCACACAGCACAGGGGGGTGGGCTGGAGGACAGGGAGGGACAGGCAGGCTGTGGAGCCCCTTGGGATGGAGGTTTGGCTCAGGAATTAGGCAATGACCAGACCGACAGCTCAGGGGCTGTGTGTCAAGACCATAATTTTGGCAAGGCAGTGCCTTAGCTGAGGCTGGGGCTGCTGGAGGGGGGAGATGGTAGAATCATGGAATGGTTTGGGTTGGAAAGGACCTTACAGATCATCCAGTTCCACCCCCAGGGACACCTTCTGCTATCCCAGTTTGCTCCAACACTTCAGGGATGGAACAGCCACAGCTTTCTCTGGGCAACCTGTGCCAGGGCCTCCCACCCTCAGAGGGAAGAATTTCTTCCCAACATCCCACCCAATCCTGCCCTCCTTCAGCCTCAGGCTGTTCCCCCTTGTCCTGTCACTCCATGCCCTTGTGAAAAGTCCCTCCAGCTCTCTCGTAAGCCCCCTTTACACACTGGGAGGCTGCTATAAGGTCTCCCCAGAGGATTCCCCCAGGGATCCCATGGGAATGGCCCTTTCCAGTCCCAGGTTAACTCTCTGTGCACAAAGGCTCTCCTTTACACCTCCCCACTGGAGCTGCACCCCCGGCGGATGCAGCATCACCCCCTGGCCCCTTGGGAGGGGGGCTCAGACCCACCTCCCACCCCCCCAGATTTTGGCTAAGGAGCCTCTCTGCCGTCCCTGCAGAACAAATGCTTCCGTTACTGGCCCGACAAGGGCAGCACCAAGGAGTTTGGGGGCATCTGCGTGCGCCACGTGAGCGAGCGCGAGGCCCAGGGCTATCTGCTGCGGGAGCTGGAGATCCTGCGGCCGGACAGGGTGAGTCCTGCAGCTCCCTGCGAGTGGGAACGGGGCTGGAACCTTCCAGGAGGGAGTGCTGGATTTGCCCTTCGCTGGGTTTTCTTGCTCAGTGCTCCCACTGCTTTGGGTGGGATGGTTTGGGATGGGTTTTGGGGCTTGTGGTGGTTTAAAGGTAAAAACCGGCGGGGAAAATGAACCCGACTCAAAAGAGAGATGATAAGTCAGAATAACAGTTTGATAAAATAATACAATAAGTACGATTATACAGACAAACAATTGGTTTGAACCCACAAAACCCAAATGTATAACCCAGCACCCTGGGGACTCAAAAGAGAGATGATAAGTCAGAATAACAGTTTGATAAAATAATACAATAAATACAATTATACAGACAAACAATTGGTTTGAACCCACAAAACCCAAATGTATAACCCAGCACCCTGGGGCATGAACAGAGTGGTGTTCTTTGGGCCCCCCCTGAGTCCAAAGCAAAAGGAGAGGGGAAAAACCTGTTGGTGAGAGTGCTGTTGCAGTCTGGTCCAGAGTGGTGGT